GAGCCTGCCCGGTCCATCCCCGCCTCCTCCTCCTCGGAGGGCACCAACTATACACCAACACCGATCCTGGCCCAGGATCACCCTGGGCCCAGGATCGGTGTATATGCCTTCTTGCGCAAGGCAGGAGGGCGTATACACCGATCCTGGGCCCAGGGTGATCCTGGCCAGGATCGGTGTTGGTGTATAGTTGGTGCCTTCCTATCCTCCGCCCCTCCAGGCTTCCCGCGGGGCGGAGGATAGGGGAGCAAGAAGTGGCATGAGCATCAAAACTCGGAGGTCCGCGCGGAGTTCTCGGATCGGCGCGGGGGCCCCCCCGGCGGGCGCCCCTGGCGCGCTCCGCGCGCCAGGGAGGGGGGTCCAGCGCCGATCCGAGAAATCCGCGCGGACCTCCGAGTTGTTATGTTTATGCCACTTTTTGTTCCCTCCTCCTCCGCCCCGCGGGAAGCTTGGAGGACTTCTGTGGACGGCAGAGGGGCCTCTTGGAAGCCCTCCCTACGACCAGGAGGCCTTGTCAGAAGAGTGGACGACGAAGAGGAGAGCGAGGAGCCTGCCCGGTCCCACCCCGCCTCTTAGGGGGAACAAAAGGTGGCATAAACATCAAAACTCGGAGGTCCGCGCGGATTTCTCGGATCGGCGCGGGGCCCCCCCGGCGGCGCCCCTGGCGCGCTCCGCGCGCCAGGGAGGGGGGTCCCCAGCGCCGATCCGAGAAATCCGCGCGGACCTCCGAGTTTTGATGTTTATGCCACTTTTTGTTCCCTCCTCCTCCGCCCCGCGGGAAGCTTGGAGGACTTCTGTGGACGGCAGAGGGGCCTCTGGGAAGCCCTCCCTACGACCAGGAGGCCTCCTCAGAATCAAGCAGTGGCGAAGCGTCCCGGCTCGCCTATAGCCCCACCAAACAATGTTCTAAGAATCTTTTGTAGTTTCCACGAAATGTTCTTAGAACATTTCTGGCTGGGACTGCCTTGTTTTATCACATCGGGCGTATGTTCTGAGAACATTGTTTTTGTTATTGGAACATTTTGGGGTTCTAAGAACATTTCGTGGTATGACTAGAGGAATGCCGGGACGGTCGGTCCCTGTTCAACAGCAGACCCCCATGTGGGGCCGAAGGGAGGGGTAGGGAACGGGGGGCCACCGCATCTGCTGCCTGGAGCGGGCTTCGGCCCCGCCGAGGCAAGGAGCAGCTCGGGGTTGGGGAGAGGGTCGCCGGTCGTCGGGTCCTTGCGTGGTGGTTCCTCTGGCGCCCCTCGTGCATCCGGGCGCTCTGGGGGGCCCACCCGGGGAGTCCTTCCTCAATCGCAGCGGGCTTCGGCCCCGCCGAGATAAGGAGCAGCTCGGGTTTGGAAGAGGGTCGCCGGTCGTCAGGTCCTTCCGTGGTTGTTCCTCTGGCGCCCCTCGTGCATCCGGGCGCTCTGGGGGGCCCACCCGGGGAGTCCTTCCTCAATCGGCTGAGGTTCTGTTGTCATGGCGGCTGGGGGAGGGCATCCCCCGGGGCGTCTGCCAGCACGGGCACGGGCGCGAAGCCCTGGGGCCTGGGGAGGGACGCCTGCCACCACTCGAGCGGGAGATCGACTTCAGAGTCGATGTTCCCCACAATCGGTCTGCTCCTCGAATCTACGAAGAGTGGGTGTCAAGCTTCGTACATCTGCGCAGCATTCTACGTCATTATCGTAGACTTGATGGACAAATAAATCTTGGGTCAATCGATTATGTAGCAGACCTCCTACTCGAGTAATGGCGGGCGCCCCTCTCCTGGCCGCAGTGCTTCGCACCCGTGCCTGTGCTGGGAGACGCCTCGGGGGATTTCACCCCGCTGTGGCCTCGGTGGATACCGCCATGGGTAGTTCGAGTAGGAGATCGACTACAGAACCGATGTACCTCAGCATCGGCTGGTTCGTCGAATCTACGAAGGATGCGTAGAATGCTCCGTAAATCCACGGAGCATCCGACGTACTCTTCGTAGAGTCGGTGGGCAAAGCAAGTTTGGGAATACATCGATTATGTAGTCGATTTCCCACTCGAGTAATGGCAGGCGGCCCCCCTAGCCGAAGTGCTTCGCACCCGTGCCTGTGTTGGGAGACGCCTCTGGGGATGACATCCCGCTTTGGTCTCGGGGGAGAAGGTCGTTCGAGTAGGAGGTCGACTCCAGAATTGATGTGCTGCATAACCGGCCTGCTCGTCGAATCTGCGAAGAATGCGTACCATGCTCCGTAGATCTTCGTGGCACTCCACGCATCCTTCGTAAATTCGACGGACAAAAGAATTGTGTACTCAATCGATGCTGAAGTGGACCTCCTGCTCGAGTAGTGGCAGGCGCCCATCCCCCGGCCGCAGTGCTTCGCACCCGTGCCTGTGCTGGGAGACGCCTCGGGGGATGCCACCCCGTTTTGGCCTCGGGGGATGCCGCCAAGGGCAATTGGGGAAGGGGCGCGCTCGCACGACAAGCAGACCCTCCGTGGAGCCGTCCAGGGGTCTGAGGGGGCCCCGCACCGGTTCCGGCCAGCAGGAATGGCGGGCAGGTTCGAGGTTCTGGGTGCGGGGCGTTTTTTTCCCCATATCCTAAGATGGGGTTCTTGTTATTACTTGGACGCCTCCTACTCCCTCTCCCTCCTCCTCTTTCCTCCTCCCCTCCTCCTCTTTCCTCATACTCAGACCTACTCATACTCAGACTTACTCATACTCAGACTTACTCATACTCAGACCTACTCATACTCAGACTTACTCACACTCAGACATACTCATACACAGACTTACTCATACACAGACTTACTCACACCCAGACGTACTCATACACAGACTTACTCATACCCAGACTTACTCATACACAGTATTACGCATACTCAGACTTACCCATACTCAGACGTACACATACACAGACTTTCTCATACACAGACCTACTCATACCCAGACTTACTCATACACAGACTTACTCATACACAGACTTACTCATACTCAGGCATACTCATACTCAGACCTACTCATACTCAGACTTACTCAACACACATCAGATTTGGAGGATGTCTCAAGCGGGGCGCTGGTTTCAGCACCCCCTAAGGGGAGCCGCCAGGGGTGTTTGCACGGGCTCGTTCGCGGCCATTTTGTGGGGATGTCTCAGGCGGTTTGCTTGTTTCTGGGCTCAACATCCTTCGCTTGGAGAGAGCAGATTGTGAGGATGTCTCAGGCGGGGCGCTGGTTTCAGCACCCCTAAGGGGAGCCGCCAGGGGTGTTTGCACGGGCTCGTTCGCGGCCATTTTGGTGGGGATGTCTCAGGCGGTTTGCTTGTTTCTGGCTCAACATCCTTCGCTTGGAGAGCAGATTGTGAGGATGTCTCAGGCGGCGCTGGTTCCAGCACCCCTAAGGGGAGCCGCCGCACCCCTAAGGGGAGCCGCCAGGGGTGGTTGCACGGGCTCGTTCGCTGCCATTTTGTGGGGATGTCTCAGGCGGTTTGCGTGTTTCTGGGCTCAACATCCTTCGCTTGGAGAGCAGATTGTGAGGATGTCTCAGGCGGGGCGCTGGTTTCAGCACCCCTAAGGGGAGCCGCCAGGGGTGTTTGCACGGGCTCGTTCGCTGCCATTTTGTTGGGATGTCTCAGGCGGTTTGCTTGTTTCTGGGCTCAACATCCTTCGCTTGGAGAGCAGATTGTGACGATGTCTCAGGCGGGGCGCTGGTTTCAGCACCTCTAAGGGGAGCCGCCAGGGGTGGTTGCACGGGCTCGTTCGCAGCCATTTTGTGGGGATGTCTCAGGCAGTTTGCTTGTTTCTGGGCCCAACATCCTTTGCTTGGAGAGCAGATTGAGAGGATGTCTCAGGCGGGGCGCTGGTTTCAGCACCCCTAAGGGGAGCCGCCAGGGGTGGTTGCACGGGCTCGTTCGCGGCCATTATGTGGGGATGTCTCCGGCGCTTTGCTTGTTTCCGGGCTCAACATCCTTCGCTTGGAGAGCAGATTGTGAGGATGTCTCAGGCGGGGCGCTGGTTTCAGCACCCCTAAGGGGAGCCGCCAGGGGTGGTTGCACGGGCTCGTTCGCGGCCATTTTGTGGGGATGTCTCAGGCGGTTTGCTTGTTCTGGGCTCAACATCCTTCGCTTGGAGAGCAGATTGTGACGATGTCTCAGCGGGGCGCTGGTTGCAGCACCCCTATGGGGAGCCGCCAGGGGTGGTTGCACGGGCACGTTCGCGGCCATATTGTGGGGATGTCTCAGGCGGTTCGCTTGTTTCTGGGCTCAACAGGGAGGGAAATGACAGGAACGAGGATGAGGAGGAGGAACAGAGGAGGAGGAGGAGGCGGGGGATCGTGAGGAAGGGCATGGGGGTGCGGAGGGGGAGGGGGAGCAGGAGGATGAGGAGGAGGAGCAGGAGCAGGAGAAGGGAGGGGGCGGAGGAACAGGAGGAGGAGGAGGAGGAGGAGGGCGCTTTGCTCGAAGGTCCTTGACGCGAGCAGAACGTTTGTTCCGAAGTCCAGGACACATATATATATTAATATATATCTGATATAATATATATATATATATATATATATATACCGGGGGACGAAGTCCCCTGGCCGAGCCCAAGGACCTCGGGGGCGCATGGGGGTGCAGGGCCCCCGGGGCCGCTCGGAAGGGTTCCCGTTCGGCTCCAGAGACCGCCAGGGCGGGCTCCAGCCCAGCCAAGACAGCCCGCGAGCGCTCCAACACGCGCCAGCATGGCTTCCAGACGAGCCCAGCGGCCACTAACACGCCCCAAGCGGCCTCCAAGACGCCTCCCAAGAGAGCCCCAAGAGGCAACAAACGTTGTTTTTTTCCATTGGTTTTTTCCATGTTTTTTGTCTTCTCGCTTTTCCTGCTTTCCGACGCTCCAAGACGGCCCAAGAGGCCCCCAAGAGAGCCCCAGGACGGCCCAAGAGACCCCTAAGCCGGCCCCAAGACGGCCCAAGAAGCCCCCAAAGGCGTCCCGAGACGGCCCAAAAGGCCCCCAGGACGGCCCAGGAGCCGCCCAAGACAGCTCCAGGAGGGCCCCGCCATG